TGAAATAAGCCACAGGAATTTAACTATACTGCTTTAATTGTCTAAAGCATGTTTTAATAATCTTACGAATGTTTAAATTGGCCTAAACTACCTCGATATTTAGCTAATGTTGCCATTCTCTCAACGTTATAAAACAGCTCCCGTGTCGCAACGAGCTTTGATATCGCTAGGAAGCCGTGAAAATTACTCGTTTGACTGTGTCCCAAGAATGGCAACGCTGTTGACAAAACATTTGAATCTACAAATTATTCATCCCTTTTGTCTCGCATGACGTGTTTCTTTGTCTTGCAAGCGCGTCGCCGAACTGGTCGCGTCGTGAATCGTAAACTCTCTAGTAACCGGCCGAGACGTAAGTAAATGATGCAGTCGGGACATACTCGTACATACAAGAATCATAAAAATACAAATGTTGAATTGTTATTGTCAACTGTCAAGTTCAGTTATTTTTAGACAATATGGTGTTAGCCAATCAGAATGCAAAATTGACCGGCCCAGACCAGGGCTTCATCGTGTCTCGCCTCGTCCTCACACTGAAGCCCTGGGAACGAGGTTGAGTTGTATCAACACTCGTAGAAATTGGGAAAACTCGAAATTGCGTGAAAACCATAGATATAGGAGATCTAGATTGCTAACGCATACCTAGCGCAGGCGGGGCCTACATGATAAATCCAAGATGGCGGTACAACAGGGCAAAAAGACTATAGATTCTATTACGAAAATCAAGATTTTTGCATTTTTTGCCGTCGCATTGTTTTGAAACTTATTCGGTCAAATTTTATGGTAAAGAGAAACGTACCGCGAAGATTTTGAGCATATATATGATTGAATTGGATGAAAAACTCGCAAAATTATCCAGCGATAAAAGTTCGTGTGAAATGGTCAGTTGGTCATTTGGAGCGTTTTATTGCCAGAAATACTGTGCTATGTTAACATCTAGCCTTGTGAATGGTGTTTTATACTTGCATCTCTCATCATCATCTGCTCTGTCCTCATAATTATGAAAAATGAACTGTTATGTACCCCCCCCCCCTTTGCTTGTTAGAGAAGTAAACTGATGAGAGCACTGGATGAGGGTCTATCATCTATGGTCTGTTATAATTTGCTTTCTATGCAAATAGTGAGCAAAAATTAAAGCAAAACTGTACAAGTTACATATATAGTACTATATCAGTACTATACACGAACTTTTATCGCTGGATAATTTTGCGAGTTTTCATCCAATTCAACCATAAATATGCTCAAAATCTTCGCGGTAAGTTTCTCTTTACCATAAAATTTGACCGAATAAGTTTCAAAACAATGCGACGGCAAAAAATGCAAAAATATTGATTTTCGTAATAGAATCTATAGTCTTTTTGCCCTCTTGTACCGCCATCTTGGATTTATCATGTAGGCCCCGCCTGCGCTAGGTATGCGTTAGCAATCTAGATCTCCTATATCTATGGACTCAAGTTACACTTCTCCTGTACCTTCTTATCAGTTGTGCCCAAATATTAAAGTTGCCCCATGCCCCAAATTTCTCTGCGCGGCCCTGCAAAAAAAAAAGTTCCAGTATAGCGCTATTCGACGTTCGTACAGCCGGCTCCAGAAATATTAAAGATATTATCATTAGTCTGAGTATATCAATAGACAGCTATATATTATACAGGATTCAAAGTTAAATAACGAGCATCAAATAATGCTTAAATATTAATAGTCTCTTTATGTAATGGAAGGGTAGCATTTGTACATTTACTTTGTCGTGAAGGGGCCCAAGGATTTAATCCCTATACTCAAAGCGAAAATTTTGTCTTCTATAAATTAGGACGAGAGCCCTACATGAGGCAAGCCAGAATCGGCATTAGACGGCCAACTCATTCCCTACGAGAAGAGTTGCATGAGTGTTTAGCGGATATCACAGATCAAACAAATAAAAATTCTCATCAAAATTTGAACCTATTCAAAATTGATGAGAGTGGATGAGACTTGATAAAAAATGAGAATTACGAGAGTTGGTAGTCACGCATTGTTGAATTGTTACAGGGGACATTTCAAGTCCTAGATCCCTAGAATAACAAAATAAAGGTTTGATAAGTGTTCCAACTATATTTTAACTTGACAGTATTACGAAAGCATTAAAGTGCCTATGACACGAAATTTCACCCCCAAAGGTTTATGGTTGCATTGTAAAGATCACTTAAAATGACTTAATAATTTCTTTTATAGAATTTTGGTAACTTGCCTTCTATGCAAGATATTCAACTTTGTTTCGTATGCAAATATCACCGGTCATTGAGGCATCACATCACATAATGACATTTTGAAAACGCAATATTTTACCTTGATAAAATATGTTTGCAAACAAATGCAGAGCCAGAGGGTTAATTACCAGTTATGAAATTAATACATATACAAGGGCAATTTTTAAGATTTTTAGTTACGTATTCGTCAAGAAAACTATACTTTTCTGAAAACTCATTATGTGATGTACATCATGTCACACCGGTGATATTTGCATATGAAACAAAGTTGAATATCTTGCGAAGGGAGCGAGTTACCAAAATTCTATAAAAGAAATTATTAAGTCATTTTAAGTGATCTTTACAATACAACCATAAAGACTTTGGGGTGAAATTTCGTCGAAGGACAAGGTCGAGTGACTACCAACTCTCATGCATCCTCTTCGATCTCTTTTGATCCATCTGCCGATCGATCTGCGTAATAGAGTAACGTTTTCTCACGTAACATGCCGAGTGAAAACATAACCGCAAAGTTCAAGGTAACACACTTACACATGACCTCGTGAAGACAACCCGACAGGTTCCGCATTCAGATTAGCAATGACGTCATTGCTACTGCAATGTAATCAAAATTAATCAGTATGACGTCTTGGAAGAGTAATTTCGTGAAAACTGTCGATAAACGGATATTAAATGGCCTTATTTACCCACGATTTGTCTGCAGTTGCCGCGAAATTTATCGCTTTTAGATCTATTAACTATGTTATTTTTTAACAAGGGATTGATTAGGTCTGCTAATTGAAAGACGTAAAACAAAAGGCTTAGCGAACTCGAATGGTTTGCACTTTTCTAATTCATAGTCGGTCAAGATACAGTAATATCTGGAAACCCGGAAAACATCCAAGCAACAACATAGAATTAGACCTTTGTTTGATGTTGAACTGTACCCGGCACCGTGCACGAATCCTTGAAGTTGAGAACTTCATTAAATATTATTCATCGTTGTGACGTTGTCGCACGTTTCACTTCGGCTATGCCTATTGGACATTACTTCATTATGCGAAAATGCATTGAGCTCAACTGACCATGACCGTGCATAAATTAACATAAACTCAGACAAAAAGTCAAAAACATAACCGGCAATGACTTCTTCAGCGTTTTTTAACCCAATTAAAGATTGAACTCTAACATATAAAGCTCGAGTTAAATCGGTTTGCAACTTACGAGTCTGCATGAATTATTCAAAAATGAAATTTCACAGGCCATCAAAAGGGGTGTGTATTTAAATATGCATCAAGCCATAATTTACGAAATGTACGAGTTAGTTTTTTCCCCGTTTCCGTTCCAAGGCGTCATCCAATAAGGATGGGTGCAACGGCATATTGCCACTGAGGCCTATAGCCTCGTTCGAACACTATGTTGGGTAATGCTGCAAGATGTTGGATTGAGTTTGACTTTGTTTAGAATTTCCATTCAATATTTGTCCAACATACAATGCCAATGGGGCTTTAAGCCTGATTTCCATATGGTCGTGACTCGGTCAGTAAATATCGAGTCACGACCTTTCACAGAACAGGAAACAGTAGGCAGTGGTTATAAATAGCGCGAATACGTATGATTTATATGTGGCTGAATGTGACTTTATCTTTACGACGTTACGACCATATGGAAATCTATAATTTTTGCAGAAAATGCTGGGACACTTGACTTGTCCTGAAAGGTGACATATATCCCTCCCACAATGTTGGTTTCTTCCACAAATCAACCTGATCAAGTAGAATAAATTACGGTTTCATAAGTGATGTGTGAAACAACATTGAAACTGGGGATGGGGGACATCACAGAATGAGTTTAGAATGCTATTTCAGCACCCCGATTCACTTGTGTAGTAGATATTTTAGCAAGTGTCGCGACTAATTTCTGCGTAGTTGTAGTTTTTTGTTAAAAAAACCTGATCGATTTGCTGTCAACAACACAGACTGATCTTTTGTCTATAGGACTGGTAAAAATCGGCGTAAAATATGAACCCACCACATATCGCTTTTTACACTGTAAACATTCATCACGACAAGATTCTGAATCCGCATTGAAGTGATTGAACTAGCACTCTGTCGGCGATTTCTCTCCTGGCAAATGGTATCGAATAAATAACATGCAAAAGACTTAGCGAATTGTTTCCTTCTGAAAAGCGACTCTATACTTTTGTGTACGAGTTCACGCATTTGCATCCGTTATAGACACACTGAATCGCGGACAAAATTGCTAGTATGAAGCAGGCTTTATATATGAATAGTATGCCCCAAGGCTAAGTTACTCCAATACTAAATCAGTATATAGATGCAACTGAAATTCGTCAGTGATAGGAATTCACCCATTTTTAAAAGCGGAAGAAAATTTTAAAGTTTCCATCGTTTTGTTCACTGAGAGTCACAACCGGAATGAAGCTTAGCACTGTCGCTGAAAATCGCTCATTTCCGTCACGATATGGCATGATATGCTAATCTCTCCAAGCGGAAATGGAACTCAATGTCCCCCCATGACCCCCTCGTTTCTATAGGAACGCAAGGCGGCAGACAATAGTCGCAATAATAAACGTTTTATGCATTGAATTCGATGCATAAAGCAACGATAAATGTGGGAATTTGTTGAGAAATTTTCACTAATTTCCGATATGGAGCATTCTTGGTTGATTTCTTTCTTGCATAATTGCCCGGTTGCTAGGGACAACGCCCCCGGGACATCGGCCCACATTGGCTGACGGGAAACCCACAATCCTTTGCGGGCTGGGAATGTAGATTTCATTAAATGTTCTGAATAAAATTTTCGCGAAGAAAGGCACGAATTTTATGGTTTGATTTGGACTCCTTGTTTTTATCTCTGTGTATATAGTCGAACAGATATGTTGGAAGATGTAGTGGCGTGTTGGATTCTCATTTGAACGGGTTATTTGGGCGAAAGTCGTCGGAGAAAACGACGTTCGTGGGCATTTCGTATGCAAGGTTAATACCCAGCCTGCAAGTACTGTCTCGATGGCACTTTCGCTAGTTTAGTGACACAAGATTACGATGCAAAACACAAAACGACAAGGGGAAAGGGACAATGAGCGTAGTAAGCAATCGAGGGGCAATCGGCCTAGTATGCAACCTCGGCCGAACAGCGCTGCATCGGGTTCCAGTATGACAATGGTCGGACCAAATTTTCGAGTTGGCAAAAAGATCGGCTGTGGAAACTTTGGCGAACTTAGACTCGGTAAAACGTTTGGTGTTTTCGTCTCTGTTATGTAAAGAAGGCTTTCGTTAATATCTTTTGTTTCTTCTCTTTATTTGAAGGTCGAAATCTGTACAACAATGAACACGTAGCCATTAAATTGGTAAGCCTTTCAAGTTGCTTCAATTTGAACACGAAATTTCGTGGTTTTTTAAAACCACTGACAATTTAAAATGGTAGGAACCTTTATAGATCGTTGTTAATAATGATAATCTTCGGGTTTTTTAGGAACCGATGAAATCCAGAGCGCCCCAGCTCCATTTGGAATATCGGTTTTATAAAGTTCTGGGCAACGCAGGTAGGATTTATGTTATATAAAATTTCGAAGTGGGTTGACACTTTGTATTTATTCAAATCAAAACAAACTTTTCGTTTCGAAAGATCTTCGAGACTCGCTTTCGCATGAAAATATACAGTAGATAATTTTTAGTATTAAATAACGTCTTTAATATTGTCATGAATGAAATATTTTTAATGACGTCGATATTATAAATCAATTTCATTTCGTACTTGAAATATTTTTGTTTTGAAAATATTAAAGCAACAAATTTGTGGAAACCTCCCAGATATATAAACGCCAAATATGAGTACGTGACTTTAGAATAAATTCTTGGTTTAATCGCTTGAATGTTATAGTTGAATGAAATACGATAATTTTCTTTATAAATTTTGTATAATCCATGACTCAAAGTGGTTATATTATGCAATATGGAAAGTTATTAAAACTAAATTAGACAGTAGTTAAATTTGTACAGAACTCTTTCTCTAGCTTGGTCGGTCCTCAGATTATATGTAAATAAATGCTGTCTGGTTAGAATTTGCTGATGTAGAATTGCCGTGATTATATATTTAGCAGTGAACCTGGTTGTGAAATATGTCTTGTAGTTATTTAATTCGGTCACAACTCACAGAGGGTGCAATTTTTTATGCTTGTCTTCTTTTGTATTGGGTCAATGAAGCCTGCCAAGGGGCGCTTGGGTCATCTCCCAAATGTTGCATGTTAAAAAGGGGAAAAGTGTAGGTGAAGGAACAAGATGTTTACTACATGGGGATGTTTGGATCGTGTTTGAAATCCAATATTGCGATGAAATCTGAAACCGTGGGCTTTTGTTATTTCTGAGTCAAAAAACTGTCTGAAAGACTGAATCAGACTCAATCCAGCAAACAGTGTTATAATAACTTATAATGTCTGATATTGTTTAGTTCTTTAGTAAATTTTCATATGATAAGCGGGCCTGGTTAATGTCTGAATTACTTGGAAAAAAATAAGAAACTCCTTGACACTTAAAGCACAGGTCGTTCATCAAGAAGTTTCTGTAATCTGCTTACAAAGGGCCTTTTGCTGAAAATGTTGAAGCATTTTTTTTCAGGTAGTTTCAGACACAACCATAGTAGGTTGTCAAATACTACCTACAGTACACACTCGCATTTGAGATACCATTGAAGCATATTGCCGAGTCTAGCTTGGCGGGTAACTCATCTGAGAGATTGTTTATTAAGCCTTTGCTAATCACTATTATACTCAATCTATGTTTATATTGAAGATGAGTCTGCTCAACCAGATGAGCCTATCAGTTTGAGTTCTTAGGCATATTTAAGAAATGATTCTGTTTTTCTTTGAAACATTGAAAATTTGTTGTATTCTACATATTTGTCAGTCTTGCCTCTGCCGTGATACAGAGGCCAGTGTGGAAAGTTTGTATAACGCGGCAGAGATATCGGCCGCATAATTTTGATGCTTTCTAGATATTTACTATTAAATTTTCGAAATCTCCGGCACGCAATTTCCAAACTTTCCAGTCAGGTACAGAGGTAATCAATTGAGCAGCCCTGCTCTCATACACTTCAAGTTAATGTCCAAGTTTTAAGCATAGATGGATTTTCAGATTTTACTCTGGCCCAGAATTCAGAGGGGTGAGGGGGTGTTTAGTGTTAGTGGGGTGTATGATTGTGCAAATTTCTGTAGCAGTGGAAGCCGGGAGGGGGTGGGTGAGAAAACTTTCAGAGTGGAAGAGTTTCAAGTTTCAAAGCAAACAAGGACACCTTAGTGTCCACTGTGTATCTAATTGAAAATTTTTAACTCCCAACGACCAAAATTCTCAAAGCATAAGAACTAATGAAAAGCAGTCTGTAACATGTTTTCTGAAAGTAAAATATATATGCTACTATATAAACCCAAATAACATGAATAAAAAATTTCTAAGAAATGGTATGTTAAAAAACTGCTTTGTTTTCCAAGAAACATTTTGTTTTACATGATACACAGTAACACGAAAAGGTTGACAGCAGTAGTTGTTCTTGCATCTTGACATTTAAGCGTGGTCACTGATTCAATATCAGAAACGTGAACAACTGTTTGAACAAAACCCACCAAACTTAATCACAACTGACAAATTTATAATTCTTTCGCATTGCCGGACTTTGTTCAGTTGTTAGCATTTCTGGTATTGAATTATTGGCCACATCCATATTTAAGTTGCCATGTAAAATGTCAAATTGTGTCAAATTGACATTTTTATCTTACCCACTCACACAGCCTTGAAAATGTCAAGTGTGGCATAGCTTATGGCAATAAATTGTTTAAAATATTCATTTTGCCACAGTGAAATTCGTTAAAACGTTCACAGAATGTTTTTGAATCACCTACCCACTCACTGTGGATGTGAACCCTTGGTGATCATGCATAAATGTCAAAAACAACCATTGCTATCATTCTTTTTGCATGGGGCGGTCGCATATCAAGTAAAACTGCTGTAAGTCACTACAAGAAACTCCTCGTGTACATGTATCTTATGTTACATACATCGTGTAGTCATATACCCGTACCTACCAGATCACAATTTTCACTAGTTAGTACTAGTACGGATGTACAATTTTACACCGAAATTAGATAGGCATACACCAAGAATTTCAGACAAGTATGATTGCGTACACTTCCTACAGCAGAGCTGAACCGCTACCCGTTCTTTGTTTGCCAAAAATCCTTCAGACAATGATCAAATATTTGCCTCTAACCCTGATTCTGAAATATTCATAATTTATAACAATCAAAGATGAAGCATTGATCAAGAAACATCAAGTTCACAGCCTGAATCCCGGATTGCCATCTTTGTTTACGTCATTTAAATCCAGCATTTCAAACAGTTTTTTATACAGGAATTTTATATTGAAAACTAGTATACAAAATCGTACATCGACATCGATTAAATGTACATCAACTTAGTGCAGAGCGTACAACCTCGTACGTCATTTCTTAGAGCTGTGTAAACTCTGGTTATTTTGGCTCTGGCAATCAAAACTCCGGGTCCGGCAAATTTAATTTAAAAGTAGAAGCAGGCGAAGTATTTCAGTGTAATTTCAGAATTTATTTTATTCCTTTTTGAGCTTTCTCCTCTACTTACCAAATATACGTCCTTTGGTGCTTGTTTAAACGACGTTTTGTAGAACGTAAAACCGCATGGCAGCGTGGTATTTTCGCCCAAAATACATCGGGGTCAGTGGATTTTTATATTAAAAGCGATAGCAATGCGCTTGCAGAATTTTCGAAGCCACGAATCAGATCGGAGCAAGTAATTAAATTTTATAGTAACTTCAAATCATTCAATTTAATTTTTTCATTACCAAAAGTTCAAGTAGAACTTTGCCATTTTGAGTGACTTCCCAATGAAGGGCTTCTTTCACTCGATTTTTCAGCATCCGTCTCAATCCACAGCTACCGTTATTATCCATTATTATCACTACCTATCAGCAATCCGTTATTATCACTACCTATGCTGGTCAAGACCATTAGAGTCTTACTAGGCTCCCTACATCTGCACTCTATAAGAACTTGAATCTGCCTGTCGTGATTTTGACATGAAATTGTATCTTGTAGGTGGCATTCCTCAAGTGCATTATTTTGGTCCGTGCAATAAATACAATGCGTTAGTGATGGAATTATTAGGGCCGAGTCTTGAAGATCTTTTTGACGTTTGCGACAGAACGTTCACCCTGAAGACGGTACTGATGATTGCAATGCAGTTGGTATGTTAGATGATAGATTGTTATTTCATTCCCTTAATATACTGGATATATCTTAGGACAAATGTCTTGCTTGTCAATCGTTACTGCTAGAAGAAACTACCCAAGTACCCAGAGAAAACCCACAGTGTTTAGAGTCAAACTGGAAGCATGCTTCTTTCATATAGAATAAAATTAATCGGCTATTTAGTGTTTTTGTTTGGTAAATCACTGAGTGCCAATCGTTATAATCCACACTGCATGCAAATGAGGAAAATTATAATCAGATATGTACGTATTGCAGAAATTGAACCTTGGTGCAGAGACAAAAAGGCACATAGGCAGGACTTGCCTGATGAAAACAAACATGTATGACAAATAGCACTTTACTCTGTCCCAAGAAGCACTTGTTATTGTACGTACAGGTTTAGAAACGCCTGCATTTAATCAACAACAAATATTTATAAGCAGTCAGTCCATAAAATAAACTTTATATGTCCATTCTTCATCGTGGAAATGCGCTTAACAGATGGTGTGTGCACACATGTCTTCAGGCACATGTTAGGCATGCACGCTTGATCGAGCACCTTTCCAGGTAAGACTATCTGGCAATGACAACTGTATCCATTTCTGTTTTAGTTGCTAAGAATAGAATACGTTCATTCAAAGAATATGATATACCGGGACGTCAAACCAGAAAATTTCTTGGTCGGAAGGAAGTCCGCAGGAAAAGATAGAACGATACACATTATAGACTTTGGTCTTGCAAAGGAATATATTGATCCCGAAACCAAGAAACATATCCCATATAGAGAGCATAAAAGTTTAACGGGTACTGCTAGATATATGAGCATAAATACCCATCTAGGGAAAGGTGAGGATATTTGTATATTCTGTGTAATTTACTCAACTTTAGCCCATTAACCCCTTGAATGCCAGCTCTCTGCCCTTGATGAGTAAAATCATCTGGCATTAGACAGAGTACAATAGTAAAGTAGGTTGTATCAGACTGTGATTCAACTTAAGACTCCTTAAAACCTTAATGGACAGTAATGTGTGCAAATGCACTGTTATTTTACTCTGGCTAACACCAGACGATTTTACGTGTCAAGAGAGTTTTGTACACTAATGGGTTAAGTTTATTAGTATTGGTAAATATTCTGTATGTTTAGTGATTGACGGTTCGTGCCACAATTGGAAATTACCGATTATTTTTGCAACAATCTACCCAATTTTGATTTTATAATGATGTCATAATGGCAGTTGTTATGAGCACTTGAAGGCTCCAATCACCTCAGACAAGGCTATATTACTGTAAATGTGATTTTCTGATAAAAATGAAACGTGTCAAATTGCTCTTCACAATTGTGATAGTCCTATGTAAGCATAAACAGTGTTTTTGTCTGCAACTGGCCCTGTTAGTAGCAAATGACAGTATGGCAGCGTAGAAAAATCGGATACCCACAAGCTTTCACAAGTACAGTGAGAGGTCATTCAGTGTTTTGTTATATGGTTGTATTTTTTCCCTTCTATTTATTCACAGAACAAAGCAGAAGAGATGATTTAGAGGCGCTAGGTCACATGTTTATGTATTTCCTTCGGGGAAGCCTACCATGGCAAGGATTAAAAGTATGTTGCTTATAATTTACTGTATTACTGCTTATAATTTACTGCTTATAATTTACTGTATTGCTTATAATTTACCAAAGCCGAGTCCTTCACACCAAAGCCAAGCCCGATTGACAACACCACCATCACCATCAACACCGAAGACAGTGTCACAGACCCTCCCAAGATCTGGATTCATCTACCATTCATTGGTAAAAGAGGAAACATGTTAATTAAATCTTGCACCACTAAACTAACACGCTTGCTGAAACGACGCGCTCAATTCATCATTATTTACGACACCACCAGCACTAACACCTTCCTAAGCATGAAAGACCGGACTCCTAAAGAACTACAAAGCAGTGTAGTTTACAAATTTAGTTGCCCTGGATGTAAAGCTTCCTACATCGGAAAGACAGATCGCTGTCTGATGACAAGGCTAAAAGAGCATGCCCGCAGTAAAGAATCAGAGATTTACAAACACATAAATTCATGCGAACACTTCCTGTATTATAGAACGCTATTTAATCTTCCTCATACACTATTTAATCTAGACGACTTCACTTCTGAATCAATTATTTTCAACAACTGTAGGATAATAGACAAATCCAGACATTGGTCTGTATTACTTTTTAAAGAATCTCTATATATTCATCGCCAGAGACCGGAACTTAACCACGGATGTAAAGCCTCTAAGGAACTTATAATTTTTGACTAACACATATCATATTTCATTAATTTGATCTTGTATATATAGTTTTGTATTTCGTAGTAGCGTCATTCCTGATGATGACTGCAAGCTAGTCGAAACGTCGAATCAAAATGTTAACCGTTTTCGGAGTGTCCATTGTTTTGTATTTTTTAAAATTACTGTATACTGTACATTATATATT